CAGTTAATCCTGGTAATAAAACAATAGTAGGACGTTTGGCTGGGTCTGGGTGAATTGTGTTTTGATTTTCTAGCCAATCAATTTGGATACGCCCACCATCACAAGTTCTCAAAATTTCACTAAAAATAAATAAAAATTATTTCATATAAGGCCATAAAATATTTTAGCTCCCTTAATCCATTTAAGACAATTCTTCAAAGAAGAAGACAGTAGAGGCACATGTGACTAATATTAAAAGACTAAACAAAAAAAAAAAAAAGAAAGACATTCTTACCTTTGGTATGGAATGTTTGGAGATGATTTTAAAATTGTTCTCACAATTGTCTGTGCACGCGACTCAAAGCACCAAAATGTTGGCCAAAACTTCTCATTCAAAATTGGACAATGTTTTGTAATAAACTTTAATAATTTTTCATCACCGCAGACAAGTTGGGGTTTCTGAAAATTGGAGAAGAAAAAAAAACAAAACATACATTCAGACTTTATACAAAATGAAAAAAATTTAATATTATTTAATAAAAGTTTGTATTCATAATTGATTAAGATTAAATGAAAGAAATTTCTAATCAATGCAAAATTATTTGCCTCTACACCTTTTTATTCTCTTAGTCAGAAATGTAGATTCTTTTTTAAAATCTTCTCTTCATTCATGTTGCATAGAAATTTAAAGGAAATGGTTTAATTATGAGGGGATCCTGTAAAATTCTTGACCTCACTCACCTCCAAAAATCAGTATTCTTATGTTTGGTCATTGAAATACTGATTTTAGAAAGTGAATTGAGCCAAGAACTTTACAGCACCCCCTCATAGAGTGGGATTATTATTTTTAGATAAGAAAGAGAGTATCAGTAAGATTTGAACTATGAAAACCAAAATTAATAACTGCAAAAGCTAAAACACTGAAGAGAAACATCTGATAAGTTGAAATAAGATGATGGATGAAGCAATCATTCTCACCTGATGAAATTTTAATATTACAAAAATTAACATCAAGTTTGAACATGACAAAATTCTTTTTATTCCTAACTACAAATAATCAAACCTTATATTCTGGGAGTTTGGGACAAAATTCTTCAGTTCCAGTTTGAGATTAGAATGTTCTTCCAGAATAAACTTTCTACAATGAACAGCACATCTCTGACACCAGACACTCAAGTAAGTTATGAACAGAAGCATGCATAAAACTTATAATGTAATCTGATCTTTCAGATTAGCTACATAGATGTGCTTGGTGGACAAAAGTGATGCAACATTAAACAAACAAACAAACACTAATAATGCAATGCTATCCGATAAAAAAATTTAAACATTTGACTGAAAATGTTATTTTCTTGAGAAAAGTTTTGTCTATAATGTTTTGTTTCATTCTGTCAGGTCTCACAGGTGAATCTTCCTCATTTGGTATTTCTAAATAGAGACAGTCGTCTCAATATGATAGTTATCTTTAGCTTCACTTACCCAACATCAAAGGTTGACACTTGGAGACACAAAAATTTGAAAACACTAAGAGGATTCTTTCTCCTTTTGCTTTTAGACAAAATTAACAAAAACTTCAAAACATATTTCAAAAGAATTGGCACTGTTCACTCACATCTTTAGCTCTCTATCTATGCATTTTATACAATTTCTTGTGTCAGATTTACATGCACTTTAACAGAGAAACTATCTTTGATCATTTTATCGTCCCATTCAAAGAAAATAAGCTCCATTTGTTGAATATGCAGACAAATCCAACCTTCTTCTTTTCCTGGAAATATAACAATGATGGATGAAATTTATGGGCAGACAATAGAGAAACTGTGTCTGCATGAACAAAGAACTAAATAACCAAAGCCGAAAGAAAACCATTTTTGTTTATTTCTGTTCTCACAACAAATGAAGCCTGAAAGAAAAGAAAGTCTGCCAGATTAATCAGCCAAAACTGACAAAGGGTTTCCTAAACCTACTCCAAGAAACCATAAAGCATTGTGAGGTTGGAGATGAACAGAGTGGGGCAGTGAGGGTGAATGAATAAATGTGAATTTTATTAATTTCTGTTGCTTTTGTCAATGGTTTCATAACATTATAAAAATATCCAAAGAAAAAAAAAAAATAAAAAAATAAGGAAAGCTCAAAGGGAGGATCAATAACTATTTCTGACATCTAAGAAAGGGAAAGATGAACAATAAAATGGAGGCTACAAATTCTAGATGTGATTGCAGATGCTAGGTAAACCTTATTGAACATAACTTACCAACAAGAATTGAACAACTGAAGAAATGTAGCAACGACTTCCAACAAAACATGTTTTTCTTTTTCTCTTTGACTGGCTGACATATTTTACACTTGATAACCAATTCATTACATTGTTATGAGATGATCATTTATAAATTCTGGATCAACATTAGGACAAAAATAGAAAACTTCTGCTATAATGATAATAACAAAAAAAGATCTTCAAATCCTTGGAGGGTAGGTTTTTTTTTGTGTTTTTTAAATACAAAGCAGAAAGCTACAGAGGAATGAAAACATCATCACACTACTGGCTGACAAAGGCAATGCAACTGTAGTGATGGACAAATCAGATTATACAAGAAAGCTGGAAGACCTCATTAGCAATGGCAGCTACAGCAAAGTAAAAAAAGATCCTACAATGAAACCAGAACACAAACTGTCACAGATACTAAGCAAGAACAAGGATCACTTCACACCTAAGACATATAGGCTATTATCGCTGCATTACACCAAGCTACCTCACATATATGGTCTCCGTAAGATTCACAGAGACGCTATTCTGCTCAAGCTGATTGTTAGTTGCCAAGGCTCTGTGTGCCACCCTCTGAGTCGCTTCCTTGTAGATATAATTGACCTATTGATCGGAAAGTTTCCTTCATATGTCCAATAGATAATCTGATGGAGATGTTGACTTTCTATACACAAACAACACACTTCGGAATGTGATCACACATATCAACAGGATGAGGGCTTAGCAATGGGCTCGCCATTATCACCAACAATGGCAAATATATACATGGAATACTTTGAGGAAATGGCATTAGAATCTATATCTCTAAAGCCAACTCTATGATTAAGGTACATAGATGACACCTTCATACTCTGGCCCCACCAGGAAGATGTTCAGGTTCTACTGGACCATGTGAACTCAATAAGACCTTCGATACAGTTCACGATGGAGAAAGAGAGTAACAACACACTCCCATTCCTGGATGTTCTAGTATTTTGAACATAGCATGGGTTCAAGACATCCGTATACTGTAAACCAACATTCACCGAACAGTACCTCAATTTTAACTCTCACCATCCATACAGCGTAAAGAAAGGGATTGTCCGCTGCTTACAACACCAAGCAAAAGTCATAAGTGGCGACCCAGAGACATTAGATAAAGAATTGGTCAGTATAAGCAGTACCCTACAATGTAACAACTACCCTGGGTACATGGCAGCAGCCCCCAAAAACTGGGATAGTCGGGTACAAGAGGAGGACAACATATAGAAAACAGTCTACCTGCCTTATGTGAAGGGGTTATCAGAGAAAATACAAAGGATCTGTGATCCATATAACATCAGGACAACCTTCAAAAGCTTGACGACACTTCGCAGATATCTCTCCCGAGTAAGACCCCTCTATAGAGGAGAATATTACTAAAGACTGTGTGTATGCTATCCCATGCAGCTGCGGAAAGAAATATAAAGGGGAGACAGGCCGCCCCCTTAAGGTAAGACTTCAAGAACACCAGAAAGCTGTAACACAAGGGGAAGTGGAAAGGGGAGGGGAAGTGGAAAAATCAGACATGACTGACCACATATTGAGAGAAAAGGGAGATCACTGACCTTTGTGGGATCAGGTTGAGATCATAGACAAAGAACATCATTGGAAAATTCATAAACTTAAGGAATCAGCACATATTCTAGGCCACAAAAATCTCCTGAGCCAACCAGGCATAGAAATGAATACAATATGGGAACCAGTAATAAGGAGTGCCAGAGAAAAGTGATTGACTGTGATATTGTTAATTTTGTCCCAGTTGGCATAATATTCAAGTGGAAACATGTCAGACGGATATTGTTTTTTTTTCTGTTTTCAAATCTGGCTGTTGCTCAAGTATGCAAGTAAATATAAATGTTAATTATTAATGTCATTGTCTTTATGTTGGGGAATGAAACAGACAAAACTTTCCTGGGGAATATATTATTTTAGAAACAATCTAAAACGTATTCCAGAAAACAAAACCACTTGTAGAAATGCATAGGGACACAAAAGGCGATTATCTCCCTTCAGTCAGGATGAAGTCATATGGGTCACATGATGGCCACCTAGTGAAGTCAATTCATAGAACAACAAAAGTGGCCAGTCCATCGGTCAGCTTCCAGGAATCAAACTAAGTAGTTGCTTTTTTAAGCTAAATCTGCCTCCTCCAACCAGTTGCCATGTGGTATAGCTTACAAGCCTATGGTTCTGTTTTCCTATGGAAATATATATTCACCAGATATAGAAATTTATCTCTGGCTCACAGTACACAATTTGAGGAAAAAAATCATGACATGTTATTTTCCTGTTTGCAGAATGTCCTTGCTAGTGACATAGGAGACAAATTTGGCCCACTCAAATCCAGAAACACAGGAGAACCTCCAGCAGCCCTAATTGCCATATTTTTTGTCTCATTTCTGCTTGTTGTTGCATACATATTATAGTTTCTCCACATAGGACAAATGTAAATATGTATTCATAAAACTCTCTAAGGACAAAGCATGTTTGTCATTCCTTTTCTTTCAGCTATTCTAGAAAAAAAAAAAAAAAAAGGTGTTATTATGTCATGGATATAATAATGCCCATAACAGAGAAAACATAAATAGGAGAATATTAATTTCTTCCATAGCATACCCAGTATTTGGTGACATACCAACAACATGATATATTATTAACCTCAAGTATTTGGTCACCCAAATATGATATATTATTAAACCCATTAAATGTGCGGACACATCTAAAAAACACAATTTAGTCAAGATAGTAAGAAAATTGTTAGTAAAAACATAAATTTTATCTTAAAAGAAGAAAATTACTTTTCAAAATAAATGAGTTTCTAACATTTAATGTTTGACTATCTCCCAAGCAATAAAAATTTATTCCCTCCTTATCCTATTTCTGTGATCTTCACTGCAACTTGACAATTTTCTTTAAAGTGTTTCAAACCAGAAAGAAATAAGAAAAAACTTGGTCAGGAATAGAAAAAGGAAAGAAAAAGGCTTCTTTTTTTTCCTTTTTGTTTTTTTTAACTTTCCTTTTCCTGAAGTTAAATCCTTTTGTTTTATAGACATTAGAAAAAAATGACTCCTTTCATCCCAAACAAGATATTTTAAAATTTAGCTCTGGTGAAATTTCTTTGAATGATGGTCATGATTTTGTGATATACAGATTGGGTCTGAACATACATCAT